CCGCCGTGCCCGGCCTCAGCCTCCACTTCTCAGCAGACCGGTCCCCAGGGAGGTCGTGCCCGGCCCCGGGGCTGAAGGGCAGGCGCGGACCACCAGCTTCAGGTCCCGGCCGATGCCCTGCTGAGGTTCTGTGGGGTCGCACTTCAGAAAGCACCTCAGGCAGAATCCACCTGCCCCGTGGTCAGCCAACCGCGCAACCTCCTCCCGGCTCAGTCTAACAGGACAAACCAGCGCTGGCCACGGCTGGGGACGGGCAAGGCTAGGGCGGAAGCCTGACGGGGAGCGTGAACGCCGAGGGTGACCGCAGCGGCACATCACCGCGGCGCGGGGGCCTCGCTCTCCGCACAGGCGCACTGCTCACCCCGTGAGGTCCCTGGCACCTCAGGGCACTGGGCGAGCCTGGGCAGAGGCCCCGCCCCGGAGGGCCCAGGCACTGAGAGATGCACTTGTTTCTCTGAGAAAAAGAAGGTGCTGGGCAGGCTGTCACGTGGGCGAGCACGAGCAAACTGGTGAGCGCCAGCCGGGGCACCACAAGCCTGCTGGCCTCGGCCTCCCTGAGGGGAGAAGGGCCTCGCAGGGCACCCAGGACAGAAGAGCAGGCTGGGCCGAGGCCGGACCGCGCAGAGCAGCCAGCCCAGGCGGAAGCGGGCGGGAAGCGCCTAGGGCAGGGGGCACGAGGCGCAGCTCCCCCTGGGCCGTGGGGCTCGCGGCTCGCTGCCTGGAGCAAAGCTTCTCTCCCTGCCGACGCGCTTCCGTACCGACGGCTGTGCCGCTGTCAGGCGGCACCACAGGCCCGTGCTGTGCTCACACATCTGCTCGGGGGAGCCGCTCGGCGTCGGCTCAGTGGACAGTGGGAAAGACGAAGAACGGAGCGGAGCGGCGCCGCCCAGGCCAGCGGCCTCCCAACTCGGCCGCTGTCCCGCGAGCATCTCTCCACACCATGCGTCCCGGGGAGCCCGGCCCCGCCCACCTCGGCCCGCAGGCGCAGCGCAGCTCCCACACGCACCCCACTGCCCGTCGGCAGAGCTCCCCCAGGTCGACCCCGAGCCCACAAATGCAGGCGTCTGCGCTCAGACCGGGGTGCAGCACAGCGCTGCACGCAGCTGACCAACGAGTCGACCCACAGGGAGCGCGGCGACAGGGAGCGTGGCGACGCGGGCCCCTCTCCGCCGAGGCACAGAGGGAGAGGCCCGCAGTCCGCATCTCTCAGGAAGACAGCCCCAGCTCTGAAGAGGGAGGAGGGCCTGGTCCCCTCTCAACCTTCTGCAGCTGGGCCCAAAAGCGCTGCTCTGCTGGTCAGCCCCGTGGCTAGAGACTTGCCGGGGGCTCCGAGTGCCCTCTGCCACTGTCCTCCGGGGACGCAGACCCGCCCAGGCGCTCCCCAGGACTGAGCAGGCAGAGTGGGGAGCAGGATGCTGGCCCGGGCTGGCCCAACTGTCCTCTCGGCACCTGCTCTTCTCCCCACAGCTCAGCCCCGGGAAGAAAGCCGGGGCCGGCCAGGGACTGGGGGATGCCGCCCAGAGAGCAGGCTGACGTGCCCATACCGACAAGGACGCCCCACCACATCCCAGGTCGGCCCTGGTGGCCAAGACCGCCCAAGACAGCCAGAACAGGGGAACCCGGGGTGCGTGAGGCTGGGGCAGGCGGGGTGGGATGGAGAACCTGGCTCCCTCCGTCATGCTCCCGCCCAGGGGGCCAGGTGAAACCGGCAGCACGCGGGCACGTGCGCGGCGGGTGGGCACTGCCAGCAGGGCAGGCTGACTCCCGGCAGCCAGGCTGCAGCTGCTGCAGGGCCGAGCGCTCTCAGGGTCTGGGCCAGTGGCGGCGCCCGAGCTCCCGCCCCGACACGGACGCACAGGCCCGGGGGGTCGTGCACCAGCTCAGGAGGCCGGGCAAGGCCCCGCAGCCCGCACGGGAGCAGCTCTCAGAACGGCAAACCGATGGACAGAGAGACGCCAAGCGCAGGCAAGTGGAGACCGGGGGAGGACCTGGCCGGGGAGCAGGGGCGGGGAGAGGGCGCAGAGGAGCCCTGAGCGGCGGCCTGGGAGCGCCTCC